AATGAGATTGGCACAGGATAGAGCAGGGTTTAGGGCTGTTGTACATAGGGTCGCTATGAGTCGCAAACGACTTGACGGCACATAACAACAACAACAACAAGGGCAAAAGCTTGGAATAATCCAGGAAGCATCAAAAGTAGATGAAGGAATACACAGGATCATGGTACCAACAAGAATTGGCCAATAATGAACTATTTCAGAAAGTACCAAAAGATCAATAGCCAATGAAGAAAGGAAGATAATGAAGGAAGAAGATGAAGTTGCACCAAAAGCACTAAAAATTAAGGTAAAAATTAAGGCCCCTGAAGTCAATGGGTTTTCAAATAGCAGATGCAGCCCTGAAAGTGCTTATCAGTCTATGGGAGGAAATTTAGAGTACAGCTGTCTGGCCAACTGACTGGAAAATACCCATATCTGTTCCCAAGAAAGATGATCCAACACAATGTGAAAATTACTCAACAATATCATTACTATCACATATAAGCAAAATACTTCTAAAGTTCATTAAAACACAGCTAGAATTGTACATAGAGAACTATCAGAAGTTCACGTTGGATTTAGAAGAGACCATGGCACAAGGGTTCTATCATTGCTGATGTCAGATGGATCCTAGCTAAAAGCAAAGAATACCAGAAGAATGTCTATTTGTCCATTATTGACTATATAAATGAATTTGTGTAGATCATACACAAATAGCGAATAACATTAAGAAAAATGTTAACAGAAATGGGAAATAAGAACAATGAGAGTCCCAAAACACTTAATTTTGCTTTTGTAAAACCTATACTTAGACCAAGAGGCTATTGTGTGAATAGAGACAGAGAACACTACATCATTTAAAATTAAGACAGGTGTGCATCAGGGTTGTATCCTTTCTCCACATCTAGTCAATCTGTATGCTGTGCAAATTATTCAAGAAGTTCATTTCAATGAAGAAGAATGTGCCATCAGGATTGGAGAAAACCTCATCAATAAGCTTTGTTATGCTGATGACACACCTTGCTTGCTTAAAGTGAGGAGGACTTGAAATACTTGCTGTAGAAGATCAAAGATTACAGTCTTCAATATGGACTACATCTTAGCATCAAGAAAACAAAATATTCTCACCACTTATCACTTGATGTTGGCTTAAAGACAACATCATGACAAATGGAGAAAAGATTGAAACTGTCAATAACTCCATCTACTTGGATCCACAATCAATATACTTGGTATCAGCACTTAGGAGATCAAGTGATGTATTGCATTGGGAAAATCTGTAGTTAATGATTTGGCCAAATTATTGAGGAGTCACGATATAATTTTAAAGACTAAGGTATGCCTGATTAAGGTCATGATCTTTTCAATCATTTGTTATGCATATAATAGTTAGATAATGAATAAGGATGACAAAAGAAGAATTGATTCCTTTGAATTGTGGTGCTGGAGGAGAATAGTGAATATCACACGGACTTCCAAAAGAACAAATAAAAAAGTGCAGCATGAGTGTTCTTTGGAGGCAAAGATGATGTAACTTCATCTCACATATTTTAGGCCTGCTGCTAGGAGAAGCTATTCCTTAGAGAGTGATATGCTTGGGAAGGTGGAGGGACAGTGAAGGAGAAGACCCTTAACGAGGTGCATTAAAACAGTGACTGCAGCAATGGGCTCAAGTGTGTCAGAGATTGTGAAGATGACACAAGATAGGAGAGAGTTTAGATCTCTTGTTCATAGGGTTAGTATGAATCACACTCATACAACAACGACTCTAATTTAGAATTTGAAATTAAGCGTTAATCAAGATGAGATAAATGTAATTTGAAAGGGAGAGTGATCACTTAAAAATCAATCCAATTTCTTAACTGAGCTTATTAAAGTTTGTGAAATATTGTTCTAGTGCATAAAAAAAACCAAGCCCAAAACAACCAACCCATCAGATACCTGAGACATGGGTGAATGAGTCACACCAGCAGAGCCCACAGGGGTTACTTCAGGTTTGAAAGGGTCAAAGTCTAGATCCAACAAGGTCTCCTCCTTCTTCGCTTCAGGGACTTCATTCTGATAAGGTAAAACAGAGCAAAATGGAACAAAATGTGCATTAGCTTGAGTTTTATCAAAGCTCATGGACAAGAGGTCATGTACCATCTCTCTAACATTGTCATTCAGCATCATCAAAGCATATCTTGTTAATTACCATTTAGGTTGCATATCCAAGTTCCCACAAAGTTGATCAGCTAAATGTGGTGTGAGAAGAAATAACCAGCTTTCATCAACACACCGAAATCATTCTGGGATATGTCCCTGATTCCAATTCCTGTCTTGTGTCCTGTATTAAGTCTAGCTACAAAGAAAATGTCTGAAAGATGTTTCATAATTCCATCAAGATCCAAGAAATCTTCTGTTCATAGGGGTAGTTCAGGTGTCTCGATAAAGTTGATCAAGATTTAGACCCAATACAATAATCCAGGGAAGCAACCATAATGGATAGCTGACCCTACTCCATCTGTAACTTTTACTCTTGATTTTGTTACCACATGACTGACTCTTTACCAACAATGCTTGCCTTGACTGCATGTATGTACATGTGATGGCAGAAGAAAAGAAGGGAAGGGGGGGGGCATAAGAGGGAGACAAAGCCTCTAACATGCACTGAAAAGAGCCCCACAAGAAGTAAGTTCATGTTTAGGTTAGAGAGATCATTCCAGTAAAACACAGAGGAAAAACACTGCCTCAGAAATAAAAACAAAAAACAAATGCATCACGACAAACCAAAACATTGACCATTACAACTGATTCATGTTATTTCTGGTATTATGATATAAGAAGATAACACAGGCTTGAAGCTGGCCTAAGCTAGGCTCAGACAGAACTGAGAGAGAATGTCCACAGAGGATACCATCATGAAAAGCACTTCAGTCAGTTTTCATGAAGTTTGAGCTAAATGTCTAGGATACATTACAAAAGCTTTAATTTAGGGTTGTATGTGTTTGATATCTAAATAAGTTCATTTTTATTATTTTAATTTTAGAAATTTTATAAAAATCTTATTAATGTAACGGTTTTTTACTTCTTCAATTTCAATTTGAACTTGCACACATGTAATTGATGATCTGTTCCAGTCAGCCCCACCGTGGTTTTGACTGCTGATATTGAACATCTCCATTAAGTCTTTCCCTAGATGTTTTCCATCTCTTTTCTACGCAGTGCAGCAGATGAAGTCTATGTGTGTAGCCATTGCTGATGTTTTCTAAAAAGACACTGGAAACAACCCAAATGCCCATCAACAAATGAATGGATAGAAAAACTGTGATATAGACACACACCAAACTACTATACAGCACTTAAAAACAAAAAACTCATAAAATATTACACAGCATGGCTGATCCTGGAAGACATTATGCTGAGTGAAATATCTCAGCCACAAAAGGATGAATACTGCATAATACCACTGTTATAGAACAGGACTGGCCTGGCAGTTTGGGGGAAACTAAGAAAAGAGGGAATAAATGATGAATACTGCATTAAAACAGATAAAGGAAAGAACTAGTTAAAAGGGATATATGATCAGCATTTATTTGTGTGACAACAATTCAGAGTACGAGGTACATAGCAAAGTGTACTGGGGAAAGAGTGGGAAGAAGGAAGAAATTTTGCAACATTGAATGAATGTTTTCTTTAAAAAAGTGAACTTGGGGGGTAGGGAGGGAAATGTGCAACAATGAATGAATGAAAGTCCAACATTTTGTAAACTTTCATTAAAATCACTATAATAAAAAGGTATTTGCAATGATTTCCTGTCACTTGGATGCACAATCAACATCCATGCTAACAGCAGTAAAAAAAAAAAATCAAAAGAGGTGTTGCTTGGGAAAATTGCTAAGAAGGATCTCTTCAAAGTACTGAAGAGCAATGAGGTCCATTTTAAGACTGAAGTGTCTTAATCTAAACCATAGTATTTTCAGTTGTTTCCTATGCATCTGAAAGTTGGACAATGAATAGATGACGAAGAAAAACTGATGCCTTTGAATTGTGGTATTGGAGAAGAGTACTGGAGACCCCATGGGCTGGCAAAATAGCAAAAAAAAAAAGTCTACCTGCTAGCTAGATAGCCTTGGCCAGCTCATTCAGCTTCTTTGTGCCCCAGTTTATCGGTGCATAAATTGAGAGTACTAATATCAAGAAACACTGATAATTACTAGTGATTTAAACACTAAAGTTTGAAACAAAGAACTGGTAGTGGGAAAAGAAAACACGGAGATAGTGTTTGATGACTGCTGTAGATCAATCACCCAATAGAATTTTACAAAACCAATAGCTTATTTATTCACTGGAAACTGCTTTCTTCAACAACATAAGTGAGGCAACTATATACGTGTGGACAGAGAACTCCAGCTACTTAGTGGTTAAAAAGTTATGCTATCAACCCAAAGGTTCGAATTCACCAACTGGTCTGAAAGAGAAAGATAAGTAATCTCTTACCACGTGATTTACTGTATCTGAAAATTCCCAGAGGCTCAGCTATTAGGTCAGTTCTGACTCGACAGTACTTAACAACACATACTTAGACCAGGGCTAACAGTGGAATAGAGCTCATATGCAAGCTCAAGTTGAAGAGGAAAAGAAAATTAAAGCACATTAACAAGCACTGATATAGGATTTTAAATATAGCCCATCTGCGTTTTCTGATGGGATCCTTCAAAAGTCCTCTCAGCTGCCATTTTTATAGGAAGGGCTACAACTGTGGTTCTTACAGTGGGGCTGGGACTAGAGAGTTGGTTGTTCACCTGTGAGACTGAAAGGTCTCATGGCTCCATGGCCAAGAGCTAGAAGTTGGGAGAAACCCAGGTTACTGTGAAAATAGTTTCACTACTGTTGTATATGTGAAAAGTCGGATGAGACAGTTCGTCAATGAGGAATAGGTTTATTTTTTGCCCTTACAGATTTTCATCTGCTTTAGGATAATGTTAACATGTTTGCTTAAAAAGATAAAATGAAAGAAGAGGTCAGAAATACGTTAGCCCAGAAATGTGTTCTACTGAAAAGAAATTCATTTTCCAGTAAATGGTAATATTTAGGTGCATTTTTTTCAGGCTGGTCTTGTCAGGACACCAGACAGAAAGAGAGCCACTTCATGAACATATTTTGTAAAGTGAAAATCTACTTCAGCTTTGTTTCGCTGTGGAAAACAAGATGATTTCATGATCTTAAAATTTAAGATGCATTGTAAACTTGGACTTTGCTGGGAGACCTGCAAGGACAGCAGAGGCAGTTCCAGGCCGGGGCTTGCGACTCAGACAAACCCACACCCATTTAGGCCCGAGGCCTGCATCTATAAGATTTATCAACCTCCCCTAATATACCCATGTACCATTGAGGATTAAGTTACGTGGGGAATCAAACTGGTTTCTGGCCTGAGTACATAGGGCCCACTAACTCAAACAACAGGGAGATCCTGAGCATCTCCAAAGAGTGGGGAAGCTATTCCTGAA